ATGGCGGAGAGATTCGCGAGGTGCATCTTTCCTCACCCTCGCTCGCTCTTCGACGTAGAGGAGCCCACGCAAATTGTTCACTGGCACGAGAGGCCCGAGACGGGGTTCTTGACGGGGTTGCTCTTCCTTGACGGGTCGGCTAAGTACATGGGCCTCGATGGGCTCACTCGGGCTGGTTGGAGTATCGTGTCGGTCGACAGGTTTGGGGAGTTGATCTCGGCGGCCTACGGCCCAGTTCCACTGAGTGCGGCCCCGCAGCAAACTAGTAAAGACGGGGAAGACTATGCTGTATATATGCTTACGCAAGTAGGTCTTCCCCCTTTTCAATGCTATATTGATTGCCAGAGCACTCTGGATTCGTTGGCTCGGGGCCCTGGGTTCGCGGAGGGCCCTGGAGCCCCCCGTGGTCACCTGTGGGGCCCCGTGTGGAGCTCGTTCACTCTCAGCGATTTCGAGTGTTATAAGACGCTCGGCCACGCCACTGCGGCCGACGTCGAGGCTGGCAGAAGCAGTGTTTGGGAAAGACGGGCCAATGGGCTCGCAGATAAGTTTGCTAAATTAGGAGCTGAGTGTCATGGGGTCAGCGACGATGAGGCCAACCTGTACAGAGGCCTCAGGTGCCTTGCCCGCGAGGCCTGCAGGTGGGCTGGATCGGTCGAGGTGCTGATGTCCAATGGGCCCCGTGACTCAACGGGCCTAGTGCCCAGGTCGACAGGCAGCGATGGCCCGCGGCAGCACCCACAAGACGATGATGCCCACGGCCAGGCCCTGGCCGACGACCAAAGGGAGGTGGGAGGTTCTTTGGACTTGGGGGAGGAGTGGCGGCCTTTCTCTCGGCAAGTTTTTCGGGCCAACGGTCATGCTTTCTTGGCCTGCCCTGTCTTGGAACCTCCTGGAAACCCCAGGGGAAGGATCCAGTTTTGTTGTCGGTGCGGATCGTTTTTCTCTGGGGCTCCCAACGCTGGAGCTAAAGGCCTGTGTAGGCCCAAATCGACGACGGGCGGAATTAATGACCAGCTGAGAAGGATTCGGCAGGGCAAGTTTCCGTCGTAAAAGAAGGACCTGAAGAATTTAACTCTGGGGGCTCACGTGAGCCTTAGCCTCGCCGAACGGAGGGTCTTGGCTCAGACGCTGGAGGAGGATGGCCAGGCCCCCCAGGGAGTTTCAGGTCCCGCCACCGTAGGCTTCGCGGGGGGCTTCGCCCCGCGTGAGCAGGTTTTGGATTCGTTCGGCCTTGCAGAGTCGGATTTACCCTGGGTCAAGGACCTAGGTGCCGTCTCCCTCCGAGCCTCGAACTCCGGTTTCGAGTCAGACTCGGAGGCGTCCGATTTTGGCTGAATGAGGAGGTGATTTGGCTTCAGGCCCGTCCCCAACAAACCTCCTCCTCCCCCCCTTGCCGGCGACCTGCGGGCCCGGCTCCCCCTCCTCCTCCCCCCCCTCCTCCTCCTCCTCCTCCTCCTCCTCCTCCTCCTCCTCCTCCTCCTCCTCCTCCTCCTTTCCGTCCCCCCCCCTTCCCCCGCCCCCCCGCGTGCCAGGCGCGTGCACGCTTATATGGCTGAGATTGTGGGCCCAAACAACCACGCGACTACCATCGGGGTGAGCGACCGAATGGAGCTACAGCAGGCCATCGCATAGCATAGCATCGCGTGGCATAGCACAGCAGAGCACAGCAAATGTCGTTCCGTGTACAACAGCCACGCACGATCACCACGTGGCTCCTACCGAGGTTTTTGGGCGGAACACCACATCTGCAGCATCGCATCCCGTCGCATGGCGTCGCAGACCATAGCCTAGAAGGCGTCAAATAGGAAAGCAGCGCATGGCGTGGCACAGCATAGCGCAGCAACGCATGGCATAGCACGGCGGTATGGCATAGCATGTGATACAATAGCAAACCAGCAATGCTTTTCCGGTGCAAGACCACCTCAAAGGTATCCCACACCCCGCCTAGAAGAGCACCAGAACACCCATCAAATCGCTAAGACCACCAAAAAGCAAACCAGAACGAGCCCACAAGTAAACAAGACCTTCCAGTAAAGCGAGCCAGGCACCCCACAAGTAGAGCAGAGCCCGCCCAAGAGTAAAGCAGACCGCCCACAAAGTAGACTGGACCCCGCCCAAAGTTGACGAGACATCGAGGCAAAGCAGAACAGACCACACCAGGAGCACGGCAGACCCCGTCCGACAGAAGAGCAAACCCTGCCCGAGTAAACCAGAACACCCAGAAGTAGATCAGACCCCGCCCAGAAGTATACCAGACCGCCAAAGTGTTGACCCGACCCAGCCCAGAAGGACAGCAGACCTCCTGCAAAAACAAGCCAGGCAACCCAAAAGCAGACCAGACCCCGCCTCATAGTAGACCAGACCACGCCCAACAGTAAACCAGACGACGCCAAAAGTAGAGCAGCCCACCCGTCGAAGCACCCCAGACCCTGCCCCACAGTAAGCCAGACCTCCCGGTAGGGCAAGCCACACCACCGAAAAGTAGAGCAGAGCCCGCCCGAAAGTAAACCAGACCACCCACAAGTAAAGCAGACCCCGCCCAAAAGTAACCCAAACCAGAAGGAGGAGTAGACCCCGCCTAAAAGTAGACGAGACCACCCACAAGTGTATCAGACCCCGCCGAGCAGAACACCAGACCTCCCATCCAAACGCTCACACAGCCGGAAATGAAAGGAAAGCCTACTCAAAAGTACACCAGAACTCCAAGAGCAAGGCAAGCCACCCAAAAGTAGAGCACTATCCGCTCGAAAGTAAACCAGATCACCCAAAAGTACACCCGACGTCGCCCAAAAGACGCCCAGACCCCGCACCAAAGTGAACCACACAGCCCACAGGTACACAAGAGCCCGTCCAAAAGAAGAGCAGACACCGGCCGAACGTATACCGGCGCCCAAAGGAGACCTGATCCCGCCGAAAAGGACACCAGGCTCCCGAGCAAAGCAGGCTAAGGCGGCCAAGAAAGCAGACCAGACCTGGCCCAAAAGTCACCCGCACCTGAAAGGCCACCGAGCCATGCCGCCCAAAAGTAGAGCAGGCCCCACCCACAAGTAAGCCAAAGCACCACCAAGTAGACCAGACCCCTTCCAAAAGGGTAGCGGGCCCCGCCCACAAATGAAGCAGAGAACCGAAAAGTAAACCAGACCCCGTTCAAAATGACACCAGACCGTCCGAACATGTAGTCCAGACCCCGCTCATAAGTGGGACGGCGACAAGGATCAGGCACAACGTGGAGGAGGAGGAGCAGCAGCAACAGAAGCAGCAGCAGGCGTCGCAACAGGCAGGCGGGAGGAGGATGAGAAGGAACAAAGGTGGGCGGATGATGGTGGTCGAAGAAGCACATGATGATGAAGGGTGAGTAATGGTGGGGATGATGATGATGGTGATCATCATGATGATCATGATGACGATGATGATGATATGGATGAGAATGATGATGATGATGAGGATGGAGAGGCGCATGAAGACCCGAGGGAAGAAGGCGGGGCCGGTTCTGGAACCGAGGGAAGAAAATGGGGCCAGTTCTGGAACCGAGGGAAGAAAACGGGGCCGGTTCTGGCACCGAGGGAAGAAAACCGGGCCGGTTCTGGAACCGAGGGAAAAAAACGGGGCCGGTTCTGGAACCGAGGGAAGAAAACGGGGCCGGTTCTGGAACCAAGGGAAGAAAACCGGGCCAGTTCTGGAACCGAGGGAAGAAAACCGGCCCGGTTCTGCAACCGAGGGAAGAAAACCGGGCCGGTTCTGGAACCGAGGGAAGACAACCGGACCGGTTCTGGAACCGACCACAACAAAAGAACACTTTTTCAAAATCCGGACGTGTTTTCTTCTGTCGGTTGCGCAACCGACACAAGAAAAACATACCTGATTTGGTATGTTGTGGTCCAAGTTGTGGGCGTCATAAAGAATCAAATACAGCGCCCACAACCTGACACCCAACATGCCAAATCACGTATGTTTTTCTTCACTCGGTTGCGCAACCGAGAGAAGAAAACATGTTCGACCTGTTTGGTGGTCGGTTCCACAACCGACCCGGTTTTCCCTCGGTGCCACAACCGCCCTGGTTTTCTTCCCTCGGTTCCAGAACCGGCCCGGTTTTCTTCCCTCGATTCCACAACCGGCCGGGTTTTCTTCCCTCGGTCCCAGAACCGGCCCCGTTGTCTTCCCTCGGTTCCAGAACCGGTGCCTTTTCTTCCCTCGGTTCCAGAACCGGCCCGGTTTTCTTCCCTCGGTTCCAGAACCGGCCCTGTTTTCTTCCCTCGGTTCCAGAACCGGCCCCGTTTTCTTCACTCGGTTCCAGAACCGGCCCCGTTTTCTTCCCTCGGTTGCAGAACCGGCCCGGTTTTCTTCCCTCGGTTCCAGAACCGGCCCCGCCTTCTTCCCTCGGTTCCAGAACCGGCCCGGTTTTCTTCCCTCGGTTCCAGAACCGGCCCGGTTTCGTCCCTCGGTTCCAGAACCGGCCCCGTTTTCTTCCCTCGGTTCCAGAACCGGCCCCGTTTTCTTCCCTCGGGTCTTCATGCGCCTCTCCATCTTCATCACCATCATCATCAATAGCACCATCACCGCCAACATCATCATCATCATCGTCATCATCATCATGATCATCATCACCACCACCGTCACTCACCCTTCATCATCATCATCATGCTCATCATCATCATCACCATCATCTTCATCGATGTCATCATCTTCGTCATAATCATCATCATCACCACCTTACTCTCCGTTCACCATTGTTTCCACTGTTGTGCACACTCGCCGCGCACGTCCGAAGGCGTGTCTGGAAGTTGCCCCATCCGGGCAGGAGAGTGGTCTTGACATCAAAATTTGCCGCGCCTGCGATCTAGCACGCTTACGCGCGCGCCCAGGGGGCCACCCCCGAAACTTCTCTCTCGCTGGAGTAGCGACGCGCTCAAAACTTCGCCACCGTGGGAGGGCCTGGCCGCGCCAGCGGCGCGCCAGAGGCTGCGGCATCTTCCCCCCCGCGAACGCGCGCCTGCGAGCTAATCCTCCGCCGAGTCCTCGCTTCCCCCATCGCCCTCCGCCGCGTCCTGGACTGGCTCGAGCATGCGCCGCGCCTCCATCATCGTCCCCGCGAAGTACTTCTCCACTTTCTCGACGAAGGCCTCGTCGCCGCCGAGCATCTTCGCGAAGTTCTTGTCACGCCCCGCCAAATACATCGCGCATCGGTCCATGGTCGAATCGAGCCACTCCCGGTGCACCTCGTTCGCCGCCACGCCCTCGTACTCCATCGCGCCAGCGGCTGCGATTGCCAACGCGGCAGACCCCGCCGAGAAGTCAACGATGTGGGTGATGTGGTGGTGCTCGCAGAGACGCTGCCACAAATGCAATGGCTTCACTTCGAGGTGCGAAAAGGGGTGCCCTTTCGATTCGATGTCTTTCTGCGCGCGCTTCCCTTTGACCGCGCCAGCGGCTGCGTTTCCCAGGATTGAAGCCTTCGTCTCGTAAGTCATGCGCGGAAGCTCGCAGTATTGCCGCATAGGCACGCCCGTGTACGTCGTTGCCGCACTCGAAGACTCGCCGCACGAGTTGAACTCCGCGCGGTCCACTACCTTCATGGCGCCTCTCTTCGGGATCGAGCAGATGGCCACTTCCTTGTTGTTGCACGCGAAAGAAGTCACTCGTCCCGGAACTCTGGGATCCTCTTGCTTGGTCGGCTGCACGTACACGCACCAGCACTCCGTCAGGGCGTGCGCGCCAGAGGCTGCGAGACTGTCCTCTTTCTCCTCGATCAGCTTGCGGCACGAGCGGCTCCGCCCATCGAGGAAGATCACGATATCGTGAACCGAGCGCTTCTGGCAGACGAAATCCAGCACGCGCCCGAAGCGGTCCGCATCGCAACCGACGGATTCGCCCAAGTTCGCCGCCACCCCGCTCTTGCTCACGTTTGGGGGGAACAGGTCGGCCGCCAGAACGAATGCTCGGACGTCAGTTTTTTTTCCTGCCGTACCTGTGTCCGAGACGCATCTCTTCCCAAACCTTCTGCAACTGGGCAGTGCTGTATTCCGCGCCAGACACCCCGCCGACCGACGGCAGCGCAACGAACGAAACGGTCTTCCTGCGCAGAGAGATCAGCAACTCCTGGGTTTTGCGGAGCTCCTCCTGGTCACCATCCTCGAGCTCCGACGCCCCCAAGACCACGCCGGAGGCCGACTTCGCGGCAGGGTCCGCCGGAATGGGGCCTGCCGAGCAAGCTGCGACGAGCGCACGGTACTTGACGCCCATCTCCTTGGTGCTCTCGTTTAAGTACCGGTGCCACAAGAATCCGGGCGCACCTCCCTGCAGGTCCTGGGCGCAAAGCTCCTCGAGCTCCGCGTCGAAATGGCCAGCCCAGACGCCCCGCGCGAAGTCGATGACCGCCTGCGTCTTCCCGTCCTGGCCCTGCTGGTCGCGGTAGTTGGCCACTGGGACAGCGAATGTGTTTTCGAACCCCCCTCCGGAGTCACGTGTCGGGGTCTCGTCTCGACGAAACTGAGCAGCTAAGCCATCTTCCTCGCCAGTGGCTGAGAAGTGCTTCAAGACGGCAAGCGGCGAGCGAAAAATGGAGACTGAAACCGCAATTGCCTTGTCGATCATCGCCGCCTCGTGAAGAATGTACGCCATGAGATCTTGTTTCTTGAAGAGCACGTGCGCCATCGCTGGGGACTTTTGCTCCTGTCCCGTGACCTTGCTCAAGGTCAGGCCCTCCCCCCTAGGGGCGTCGCCGGTCAGCCGGGCCACGCGCAGGCAGTCCATGATGAACACCATCGACTCGCGGGAGGTCGCGTCCTTGTCTGCCTTGGAAGACGCCGCCCTTCCATTGCATAACTGAGCCAACCGCAGCAACAACGTGGGTTCGCGGAGCTCAGGGCAGAAAGCCTCCGACAAAGAGTATGCCACGACGCACGCCTCATCCCCGACGAAAGGCGTCAAGTTTTTCAAGCACTTCGCGTGTGACTCGGCGAGCGGCTTGCCCTTGAACGCGAGCCCGTAGCTCTTGAGGGCCGCGAACAATTTCGGCAGGGACAGGTTGTCGGCCATAGCCTTCTGGCACCTTGTAAGTCGAGCCACTTTCTCCGCCAGCTTCCAAAAGGAATCCGCGCCAGAGGCTGCGGACGCGGTGAACATGGTCTCAGAGAACATCAGCGCGGCCAGCTGGCAAGCGTCCGAATCGGGGCTGAGACGCAGCCTGATTGGCACACTCAGAGCTGCCTCAAACAACTTGAATGCACGCTCAGTGTTGTCGGTGGACAACGCCTCTGCCATGGCGCCATGCCAAGCCATCACAAGCGCGTGCCCCGCCAGCATGGGCACGCCCGTTGCCATGAGCACAGAAGATTCGCCTGCGCCCATGCGCTGCGCCACCTTGGTGTTGACCACTCGCGCGGGGAGCGGCGCGTCGAACGAGTAGCGCCGCGACGGCGGGTGGTCGGATGACAGCAAGAGCTTCTCCTCAGACCACATCCCCATGGCGGCATCGAGCTGGCTAATGCTGACGGAGTCGGTCGTGTCGCCGGCGAACGGGTCGAGCATCCAGACTGTCCCCGCAGCCTCGTATTGCCCCGTCTTAGAGAAACTCATCTGCAAGTTGTCGTAGTTCATGACCTCCCGGAACGCCGACAAGTTCGTGCCAGAGGCTGCAGCAGAAATTTGCAGGGGAGGGATGAGCATGACGGAGCCCGGAATTTTGAAGGAAACTTGCGTGTGTCGATCTGTCAGGAACTTCAGGAGAGCCTTGTCGACGTAATCCTTCGCCCCCTTGGCCCAACTACGAAGATGGTCCGTCTGGGCCTTCAGCGACTCCATCTCCGGCAGCCCCGTGACGGCCAGTGGCCCTGGCGGTGAAGGCAACGGCGCAGGCGGCGCATCGGTCGGCTGCTGCGCAGGAGGCTCCTGCGCCGCGCGCGGCTTCTTCGCCGCGGGCCCCCCTCCATCTTTGGGCGCCATGCGCGCGAATGAACGAGGTGGCGCAAGCAGAGGCGCGCGGGCCACGTTGCCAGCGCTGGGCACTTGAACCGATCAGCTGCGATGCGTGGTCTTCTCAAACACACTTTTGGATGCCCAGCCATGCTTGGAAAGGTGGTCTGGTATACTTGTGGTCGGGGTCTGGTTTGCTGCTGGGCGGCCTGGTGTACTCGTGGGCGGGGTATCGTCGACTGGCGAACGGGTGGTGTACGTTTGGGCAGAGTCTGGTCCACTTTTTGGCGGGTTCTATGTATTTTGGGGAATATCATTTCTGGGTGGTCTGGTCAATGTGTAAGTGGTCTGGTCTACTTTTTGGCAGGGTCTGGTCTACTTTTTGGCAGGGTCTGGTTTACCTATGAGTGGTCTGGTCTACTTTTTGGCAGGGTCTGGTCTACTTTTTGTCAGGGTCTGGTTTACTTTCGGGTGGTCTGGTCTACTTTTTGGCAGGGTCTGGTCCACTTTTTGGCAGGGTCTGGTTTACTTACGGGTGGTCTGGTCTACTTTTGTGCGGGGTCTGGTCTACGTTTTGGCAGGGTCTGGTTTACCTACGAGTGGTCTGGTCTACTTTTTGGCAAGGTCTGGTCTACTTTTTGGCAGGGTCTTGTTCACTTATGGGTGGTCTGGTCTACTTTTTGGC